CCCCCCCAGCCCAGCCCAGCCCAGCCCGCCTCATGGGGCTGCTGTTGTGGGGAGAATAGGAGGTGGGAGCATTAGGTCTGTACGCTGCCCTGAGTTCAGCAAATAATAAAAGTGGGGTAACAGTCTAAATAAGAATAGTTATACAGGGTTAAGAAAGATTGGTCTTTTTTGATACCAAATGTTATGATGGCATTGAAGCATTTAGCTTCATCTTCAAAATGTTCATATTACACAGTTTGAATTAGTTTCATATTTCATATTTCCAGAAGGATTTGTTTCCGTTACACCCTAAATTCTCTATTTTTCTTTTAGGAAATATGGAAGTTCTCGGAGAAGGGGGAGGAATGTATTTCCTGTTTTGTTCCTTTTGTGTTTTTTTTTCCTCCTTCACATCTTTAGGCCAACCTCACATTTGTGAGAGGGTATTTGTGATTCCGATTAAAAATAAGAAAAAGTGATATCTCTGGAGGGCCACTGTGTGGACTCATTCTTGCCATTTGCTTTGCCTGGGATCTAAACAATAGAAAAGATTTGCATAGGACAAATTTTCTTTACCCCAGGAACCATCAACCCCTGGTTTTACATGAGTAAAGGCTATTTTGTAATTATGCACAAAGTCCAGTCCCTGATGCTGCTGTTTTATACATGACATAAAGAGACGGTACGTTGTTTTGGCTTCCTCACTTAGAATCCCATCGTGTGGTGGCTGCCTGTGTGGAACTGAGTGCCTCTCCCTCATGGGATCGTTTCTCTTTCCAACAGTGGTGATCACGGAGGCAGAATAAGGATTGATCTGCATTTAGAACTAGAGATTTTCCTTGTGTGCTTATCCAGCCTCCATCATGAAAGGTGTTTCTCTGGAGGAGGAGAAAAAGAAAAAGAAAAGGAAGAAAAAGAAGGTGGCAGTGATGACAACAAGCAAAGGGCTGAAATTTGCAAAGAAGCAGTTGAAGAAGCATGGATGGAAAAAAGGTGCAGGGCTTCACCTATTTTAAATTTGCCTCTTTTGGGCTCTGATCTTCCTACTTAGGGAGAGCAGACTGTCACTTAGACAGTAATAAACCAAATGAAAATAATACTGAGTTGTTGTTTACCCATGTACAAACCTGTCTTAAAGACTGGAAATTAGAATTTGAAATATACGTTTCTGTCCTGTGTTCCTTGGGGAGTAGGTCTAGATTTAACTTGAGTCTCATAATTGTCCGTGGCTATAGAAATTCTGGGCCAGATTTGCCATATAATGTGGAAAAGCCTGATATAAATATGATAAGTAAATAAGAATCTATGGATAGATTAAATGATTTTCTGGATTACAGCTTTCCATATGGTTTACTCCTGTAAAACTGGCTGAATTGGAAGGCCCAAAAGCCACAGGAAAAAGGCCAAAAAAACACTCTCTGTTCTGCAAGCCATATCCCATGCAAATTCCTAGATTTGAATTAATTAAATACGATTTTTTAAAAAGCCCCTTTTTGGACCTGAGGATTAACTGTTCCCCTGTCATCCCAATCTGCCTGACATTGATAATTCTGGCTAGGATAATTCTGGTGCAAATAATAAAAAGACCAGTCTGTAACCCCTCGAAACAATGTAGGCATTGTTAAAGTCAGTGTGGATTTATAAAAAGCAAGTCTTGCCAGATTAACCTTAATTTTTTATTGGGCAGCTTCCATGATAGATTCTGAGAATGCTGAAGACATATCTTGATTTTAGCAAAGCATTTGACAAAATACCTCACTGTTCTCAGTAGCAAGCTTCTGAAGTGTGGATTGGATGACATGATAGTTGTGGGTCTAGCTCAGAAATCATAGTCAAAGTTGGGTCTTTAAAGGAGGTGCTACAGGGTTTGTTCTTAGGCTTACTTCAAAATTTTTCTTAATGAAAAGGAGGAAGGAATGCTTTATGAAACAAAACTGGGTGGGATAATTAATATCCCAGAAGTCAGTCATCTTAGAACAATTCACTAAAAATGAGATTTAACAACAAATGCAAAATTCTTCATTTTAAAAAAAAAGAATCAAATTAACAGGTAGAGATGGGAGAATACTTGGCTTGGTAAAATGTGGGAATTGTAGTTGATCACAGGCTGTGAGTCAGCAATGGAACATGGCAAATGCAATTTTAGGCTGCATCAATTATAGCTTCCTGTATAATTAGAACATACACTTTCTAAATCACAGGAAATGTTCCACTTTATTCTGCATTGGGCAGACCTCACCTTGACCACTGTGTCCAGTTCTAGACAGCACCTTTAAACAGGGATTGAAGGAATCTGGAATTTTTTGTTTGTTTTTTAGATTTTTTTTATCCTACCTTTATTATTTTTATAAATAACTCAAGGTGGTGAACATACCCAATACTCCTTCCTCTTCCTATTTTCCCCACAACAACCATCCTGTGAGGTGAGTTGGGCTGAGAGAGAGTGCCTGGCCCAAGGTCACCCAGCCAGCTTTCACGCCTAAGGCGGGACTAGAACGTACCATCTCCCTGTTTCTAGCCTGGTGCCTTTACCACTAGACCAAGCTGACTCCCAGTTGTTGTTATTATAATCATAATTGTTATTTTGCTCACCCCTGTCTCTCCTTTTTGCCACGAGGATAAATAAGAAGTCCCATGCAGATCTTTGCAGGCATACAGATTAAGTCATTACTGTTGGTTAGGTTCAGAGTGTCAGTTGAGAATAAAGTGGTGTGTTCTGTTCCTTGCTTGTTTGTGATCGCACGGGGCTAGCTTCCCTCAGCCAGGTGTTTTGGAGTCATAGCAGGCTGTAGATTCCTAGGTGTGGCAGTTCTAGCCACAGTGGAGCCCCCGTTTGGCCAAGTGGGTGCAGAGCCAAGTTAGGAGGAAGCAAGGACTTGGATCTGCCTCCCCTTTGCCACTACTTCCCTTACTCCCACTCCATCCTTAAAAACTTTTCTTTTAGGTAAAGGACTTGGGAAACAAGAAAACGGGATCTCTGAAGCCCTAAAAGTCAAAGTGAAATGCAACACAGCTGGGGTAAGGATGGTTTAGGCTTTGAGCCAACCATGGGAGGGGGATGGATTGCAGCCCAGAGAGAGGGAGAAACTGGAAGCAGCTTTCCAGAAGTTGCCTTACCCTGTTTTGAGCAAAGCCGACCTTTCATCATAGGCAGTGTTCAGGGCTCACTGTGTCTATTCCTAAACATGTTCTTGCCTGCCAGGATTGCCCATGTAAGTACATTCCAGCCTTGGGGATTAATAGTTTCATATTCTTGAGTGGCAAAATGCTTCTGCACTTGTTTATTTGACAACACAATAGCATAGGTTTTACCTAAAGTCTGCAGAGAATTATCTATGCTTGGGGTGGGGACAATCAGGAGGAGGTTCTTAGTGACTTGGGAGCATTTGGAGCTTCTGGGCCAGATCTGTGACACCGTCTCCTCCCAACCCAGATGGGGCACAACTCAGCTGAGGAGTTCACCTTCCATTGGTGGGACCATCTGTTCAACTCATCTGCTGCCAACATTGCGGTAGAAGCTGGGCAGGTAAAGGGACACTGGCTTTGGTTTGGCAGTTTGCCACGGAAGCTGTAAATCTTAAGCTCTGGAGTGATCCTGTGGCAACAAGACAGGTGCTAACTTGAGAAAAAGAGACTGGCAACCAAATGTTGGTAGCCTTTTGCTGAATTAAGGAGCCAGAGCAGAAATATCTCTGGCCTCTTGCTCTGTTTGTGGTACAGTTGCCTGGGCATTGAAGACAGGAGGAGGCTAGTGCAGACAGGCCGGTCTTAGTCTGATCCAGGAGGGAGTTTTGGGAGAGAACCCTATTTAGAAAGGCTTGGATCCAGATTTAATCATGTTTATGGGGAGACCTATTGAAATCAGGGGAAGTAACCATGAGTAAACAAACTCCAGTCCATTTATTGAGGATGGGCCTAAGTCTGGATGCAACCATTGGTTGGGCTTGTCCAGCAAAGGTCAATTAGGCTAACATGAAGTCAGGTACTTTGTGATTCACCACACTGTGAGAAACCCAATCATAGTCTTGCAAGGGTTGTTAAGCTACAAATGGATTTATTGAATTGAACATTGCGTGCTATGTGAACAGAGCTGTCGGGTTTCCTGACCTGTGTTTACAGTTTAATGTGTTCTGTGAAGCCAGCCAATGTGTGTATGAAAGCCCTTGGGGTTTTCAACTTTACCACCTTTGCAGCTAAAGAACATCCAGCCCTTTTCACAAGTGGCAGGATGTGGAAGGCTTGTTTGGGTGTAGTCACACCTTTGAACTCTCGTTCCTCCCCCAGGATGGGATCCAAGTGAGAAAAGTCTCTGAACAAGATGGACCAGTAACAAGTAAAAAACTACGCCGGGCCCAGGAGGGGAACATGCTCTATGGCCGCTTTGTGAAGGTGCTTGGGGCTGATGCTTTGAATTCATTGACTGGGGGGCTATGGTGGAACACCGGTGCCTCAGAGACCCTCAAGTTGAACCTGCCCCTGGGCGGTGGGCAAAACGCCACCGCCTCGTCTGACTGCAGCTCTGTCTTGGCCTCCTTGCAGGCAGCCACCCTGATATCTGGCACAGAGGAGCCTGTGAACCCCACATCCTCCTCAGACCAGGAGGAGGAGAAAATGGACCTATCCACGGTGAGGAGGTAAGTGGCCCGGAGAAGCATGGCTCCTGCCCCGCCCCCCCCCCGCCCCCGGGCTGTGCAGATGCCGAAGTAGCTTGTCCCCCCCACCTTCTGTCTTTTGCAGGCTGACCGACGAGGAGCTGTTCCAGGCCTGCGGGGGAAGAACAGTCCACAAGTGAGGAGAGGGGGAGGATGGGACTTAGATGCAGCTTTCTGGGGAAGACCCAGCGCCAGGCAGAGGTCCTCCCAGCAATAGACTGCAGTTGGTGGGTTCTAGTGCAAAAAGTAAAGGCAGACCCTCTTAACAGAACGAGTGTGTCACAAGATTTGCTGGGGGTTGCGTTGGAGAACCCGCTGGCTGGTTTGCCCAGCGGGGTTGGCTAGTTCATGGCCGAGGCTGCTGTGCAAGCCCAGGGTAATTCAGGATCTCCACCCCAAGTTCCCTGATGAAAGGAGTGGTGGAGGGTTGTGACTCTTCTGCGGAGGCTGTTGCTTCCCAACCCAAGAAAAGTGACAGCTCTCTTGTGCTGTGGTCAGGCTAGGCCAACAGCTTCTGCTTCCCAGCCCCAGGAATGCTCCAAACCTGGGCGCTCAAGGGGCCTTGTGTTTCTCATTTGCTGCTTCTCTAGGGGGGCTCGGCATGGCCTCACGATGGGGGCAAAGCTAGCGCGGCTGGAGGAGCAGGAAAAGGCCTTCTTGGCTAGCTGCGTCCAGCAGAAGGAAGGACCGAAGACGGCCCCCAGCAAAAGAAGCAAAGTTGTGGGTGCTGCAAAGAAAAGTCAGACAGGGGGGGCCTGCATCAAGGCCAAGCCCAAAAAGAAGAACAAGAAGAAAAATGCCAAAGAGATGAACAGGCACTAGGGAAGCCCAGAGCTTGGCAGCCGGATGGGGCAGAAGGGGAGCCGCCTCCTGGGCCGGTGGGCTGAAAAGCTGGGAGCTTCAGTCCTGCTCGAAACCATCCTGCTACTGTCCCAGAAGCAGAGAGGCTGTTTTCAACTTCCAGTCCTCATTTTATCAGACCAAGGACTGGCTGATTTCCTTCACTAAGGAGTACTTCAGGTTGGAAAGGGTGCAGATAAATAAAATCTTTACATAAATAGATAGTACATCTAGTGTATTGGTTAACTTTCCTTGAGGGCTTAGAAGTCAGAGGCGTCCTACGCCTACAGGCTTCCTGTTCATACTGGGCGGGGGGGGGGCACTCCTCTAACAGCATCTCTTGCTCCCTGAAAGAGGACTCCTCACCCCCGGCAGTCTTCCTTGGGGGTGTAGTTGTGTGGTCCCACAGGAACCCAGGCTGCTCCCCAGGGCACCAGGCCCGCACCACTATGGTCCTCCAGCCCAGTTAACCTGCAGCACGTGGCGTCCTATTCCAGTCCTTGCATATCCTTTGTAACGTAAGTCAACACCCTTATCTCCATCTTTCAGGAGGAACAAGGCAAGAGCAGAACAGGAGAGGAAAAATGAAGTAGACAAAGTAACGATCACCAGTAAAGGGTCAGAAGAGTTAAGCAATTAGGTTTCAAAGGTCCTTATTGAAAAGCTTGGGAGAAGATTAAACTTCCCAAACTATCTTCCAGCCCCTCCCCATTGACCTCCGCCCCTCAGTTTGCTTAGGGGTGGGCATGCTGACACCCCTTGCAAATTCTCCAAAACTCTTCTGGGGCCAAATTCAGCCAGAAACGCGCTAGTTTGGGGAGCCCCAAGCAACTGTTTCTGTAGACTGCTTGGAGGGATGGGGGAGAGGGTTTATTTAAATCAAGCACAGTCCAGAAACTCAGCCCAGTGAGACTCAACCAAGTCCAAGATGATACCAGCAGAACTTTCATACAAAGCAATAACAAAAATTACAGAATTTCATTATTGCAAAACAGAACATCCAAATGTGCACAGTCTTGCAAAGAACTAACTTCTTGGGCTCAGTCCTGGAGACAGAAATTGGGAAGGAGCACCCCAGAATAGAGGTGTGCAGGATGAGTATTGTCCCCAAAGTGGGTTTTGCCTGGCGCCGAAGCCAATTAAGACATCCAGACACAAGGCGCAGTATTCTAAAAAAACTTTTATTGAAGCGCTCCAGCAAAAGGGTCCCAGCAGCGAAAGGAGCCAAGACCCTGAACGCTGATTACCGCTTCAGAACAAGAGAACACGGAAATGAGCAACAATTGGCTCAAACTCTGCTTTTTCCCTTCTATGGGATTTTAGCCCACCTTTCTAAGACCCCCTACCTGCATGACGTGTTCTGTCCCCTTCTCCTTCCAGCCAGTCATCTACCGAAGGCGGGGGGGGGGTTCCACCAGGCAGGACTCACGTGTACACACTTCTGCCTAACTTCAGACAATCCTGTATGTGTCAAGATGGTTCAACCTTGATTCATAGCCATCAGTATGGCCCCGCACCCAAGCCAGCAGAGGCCTTTCCTCAGTCGCTGCACCAGACCAGTTCAGGCAGTCGGTCTGGCCAAAAGTACCAGGCGTATCAATGCCGACAATTGGGATGGTGGCCAAAAGGCCCCCTGGAAGCTGAACCCAAAAACGGCAGCAGGCCTCATCCATGAGGGCAGCCTCCGCCTGCCGTAGCAACCAGAGCTGTGAGAACCCGGATCCCTTCGGGAAGCCTGCGTCCAGCTCCCAGGACCTCCCCACGTGTCCGTGCTGGCCAATGATTCTGGGAAACTGGAGCCACACTTCCGGAAGGGCCGTTTCCATAGAAAAACAGCAACATTTGTCCTCTGCCCCGGGGAGTGTTCAAAACACTTTCTTAAAAAGAGGCAGGTAGGAACCCTTAATATAGTCCCAAGCGTTACAAACAAAACGTTAATTCTGGGTAGTTTATTAGGGCGTGTGCATTGCAAGGAGCAGGATGAGCTTCGCTTACAAGCTGCACTCCTGCGATCCCCACAGTCAGCTCTGAAAAGGAGGCAGGAATTCAGCCCCTACTCCCTCGGGAGCTTTGCCTCTGCACACCTCATAATGTTCCCAGCCAGCCAGAGATCTGTCAGCCAAGGCCTGGGCTCTACTGGGGAACATCTGTAGTTGTAGAAAAGCTCAGCCCACTTTTAAAATACTGTAGTACAGTTCACGATGTTGCTCTACTGTTTGGATATCCAGAATTAAACAAGTCACATCAACTCAGATAAGATCAACAGAGTTCAATATTGATTCTATACACACCTGATTGGCAGCGAATCCCATTTAACTTCAGGACAGGCATGCCCTGACTTGCACTGTATTTCTTAGAAGACCCAAAATAGTAACTCCTCCCACTAAGACAATAATCACGCTAATTAGTGTGTGCTACCGGTGGCGTGTTCCTTGCTCGCTCCCAGGCCCTGACCAGCAGGTTCATAGGAGCCCTGGCCTCTGGCTGCTGCTGCTTAATGCCAGGTCAGTTAAAAACAAGGCCCCCCTCATATGTGACTTGATCACTGAGGAGGGGGTGGACCTGGCATGTATCACTGAGACCTGGCTAGGGCCCGAGGGCCCGAGGGGGGGCTGCCCCTCTCAGAAATGTGCCCAGCTGAGTTCACGGTGTGGCACCGAGATGCCAGGGCAGGGGAGGAGGGGTGGCTGTTGTGATCCGGGAATCTCTAGTGGCCTTCAGGGCCATTGCTCCACAAGTTTTGGGCTGTGAGACACTGTTCATTAGGTTGGGCTCCCACAAACAGTTGGGAGTTCTGCTATTGTACCAGCCTCCCTGCGGCGTGGCAGCCTCCCTGCCTGGGCTGCTGGAGGCCATCGTTGGGCTGGCGGTGGAGTTCCCCAGGCTTATGGTTCTGGGGGACTTCAACCTGCCATCCCTGGGGCGGTTCGGGAGTTCATGGCGACCATGGCAGCCATGGGCCTGTCGCAAATGGTGCGGGACCCAACCCGAGACAGTGCCCACATGCCGGATTTAGTTTTCTTGTCTAAGTAATGGCAAAGTGATCTGAGGGGAGATTTACAGCTTTCCCTTTTGTCATGGTCAGATCATGTGCTGGTGACCCTGAGTTTCTCCTATACGACCATCCTTGCTCTCCTTGATCTCTCAGCAGCTTTCGATACCGTCGACCACGGTATCCTGTTGGGACAGCTCAGGGAATTGGGGGTGGGCGGCACGGTCTTGTGCTGGTGTCGCCTCCTTTCTCCAGGGCCAATCCCAATCGGTGGTAATAGTGAGCGAGAGGTCCCATCCTCGGCCCCTCCTTTGTGGGATGCCGCAGGGCTCGGTTCTCTCTCCGCTCCTTTTCAACAT